CGGGGCGGGGGGGGGGGGGACCCCGGGGAGTGGGACAGCAAGCGGCTGCCCTCCCGGAGCCGGAGCCCCCAGGGGCCGCGCCCTCTCGGGCCTCTTGGACCTCGAGGGGAGGGGGCGGCCGCCAGGTGGACCCGGTGGGGAACCTGGCCCCTCCCCGTTTCTGCCCCCGGAGGGGAGGAGGGGTACGAACCACTAGGGACGCTCTGTACGCTGACCAGGTGGCGACCAGGCTTCGATTCTTGCCCCACCGGAGACCAGGACGCCTGGGTTCCCGGCGGTTAGGACCAACCGAGCTGGCCCAGGCGACCTGTCATAATTCTCCTTCTGCAAGAACATACTCTGGAAGGCTGGTGGGATTTGGGGGTTGGGGTTAGGGACCCGGGCGTTGCTGGAAGGGTGGGGGAGTGGTGGGAGGGTCGCCATTGAGGAGGGCATGAACACTTCATAAATATTTAACAGCAATATTCTTGGGGACCCCCCACTCAGCTGGGACGGGGGGCCTAAACCTTTCACAAAATAGCCTCTGCTGCTGGACAGGGGAAAATAAAGCGGCCAGCACGCCTTCCTGGGCCAAAAGAAAGAGGCTCTTTGCAGAGTTTTAGCCTCTTCTGCTTCTCCTAATTCCTTGTTCCAAAAATAGAGGGCTGGTCTTCAATTGTTCTTATGCATATATCCCTCCTTCCCTTATCTTGCTAATCTAAGACAGTCAAGATTGCCTGAGGAATAATTCCATACAGTCCATCTTTAAAATATATATATTTATTTACTCATCTTTTTTTTTTTTCTTCTTTTTTTTCAATTTGACCGGAGAGAGACACTTGAGAGAAAGGGAAAGCAAGAAAGCAAGGTGCCAGGTCCGGGGCTTGAACCATGGTGGGCTATGCAGGAGTCCATGCCACCTGCACCCCCCCACACACAAATTCCATCTTGATTGAAGTGTAGAGTGGTGTTCAGGGTGATGTTTCTGTGACCTGGTACTCTTGTGCTTATATGCTGTAGAACTTCATTCATTCCTTCACTGGTTCAACCAAAAAAAACCCACTAAATGTCTTGCTCTAAACAATTTAGATAAAACTTCTTTTATCATGGAATTTTCCTTCTGAGGGAGGGTAGGCAGATTATAAACATGAAAACAAACAATATGATAACATACAATAATTGCACATGTGTGTTGAACTATCCTTTTTTCTCCCTGGAGATATTATTTGGCAATTAAGAAAACCGAGTCAGAAGAAATTTTCTCTTCTATGGAAGAAAATTTCTATGGAAGAAATTTTCTCTCTTCTGTGTTGTAGAAGAATCTAAGATCATAGTCTACTCCCCAGATGTACTTGCTATAAAATTGCAAGAGTAATTTTTTTACATTTTTATAATTCTTTACAATTGATAACATTTTAATATGTATCCTTTCAGTTAAAAATAATAGCAATAATAATAATAATAATGGATACTTATACAGGATTTGCTGCATGCTAGACCTTGTTCTAAGTGCTTTATATAAATGTTATCAGTTTAATCCTCACTTTTATCCTATGAGATGGACACTATAATTTAGCTCCACTTTACAAATAAGGAAATTGAGGCTTAGAGGGATTACTAGTGATAGAAGCAGTATTCAATTTGGTCTTCCCTTGCTGGAACTCCATGTTCTTTCTGGGTCAAAATGAGGGTAAATGAGGCTGAAGAGGAGTGGAATCCCAGAGAAACTGGCCAAGGGAGGGAAGGCTTGGGAAGGAGGGGCTGGACCAGCACTTTAGGAAGGGGTAAGCATGATCAGGTTTCTCCAGGACCGACCTCGACCTCGTGCAGCAGTGTCTTTGAAATCTTTTTTTTTTTTTTTTTTTAATTTACTATAGGGCGTGTGCACTCTCTAGAGAGAAAGCGTGAGAAAGAGAGAAGGTAAGGAAACACTCACAGAGGGGCACGGTCATGCCACAGTCCTTTCTTCATTTCTCCTTTTGGGATTTGGGGCACACATGCACTTGCTCCATGTGATTTTCAAGCCACTAGGTCTAGGACTCAAACCTGCAGAGTTGTCTATGTGGCATCTAGATGCTTTAACCTCTACACCTCTGGCTGTCCCCGAAATAATTTTTCTGTAGCCCCAGCCTGGGGAATAGAGGCTGAACATTTGAAATAGAATATGTGTTTTCAGGGAGAAAGTAGAAAATATAAGAAGGCTAAGTGCTGTGGTTATGGTATGACCTAGTTTCTTAAAATGAATGGTTTCAGGCCATACTCATTAACCCATTATGTACTGGGTCGTATGCTGGGCACCAGGAATAGGGTGATCAGCAAACATGGCCTCTGCCTTCAGGAGCTTACAATCTGGTGAAAACATATCCATTTTATTTTTCATATTTTGTGTAGTCCTTCGCCTCATGGAAATGCTGGCCAAAGAAGAAACTAGATTTAAGTTTGTCTTTGTTAAATTAGTCTTTACTACTTGACCACATATGTCTAAGATTACAAATGGTAGGTTGGAAAGGGGGAAGTAAGTTGTGCACCGCTTCCCCATCTTTTTGCCTCTTCTTTTCCTTTCTTCTCATCCAGTGAGCCTGCCTGGTCTACTATCACTTACCTGGGCATGAACACTTCATAAATATTTAACAGCAATATTATTATTAATAAATAGTCATGATAATACGCCCGCGGTGGTATTCTCACCTGGCAAGGCCAAGGGAGCCCTAAAGTGCCTTCTAACCTCCACTTTACCTTTGGGATCCCCCACTCAGCTGGGACTGGTGGCCTAAACCTTTCACAAAATAGCCTCTGCTGCTGGACAGGGGAAAATAAAGCGGCCAGCACGCCTTCCTGGGCCAAAAGAAAGAGGCTCTTTGCAGAGTTTTAGCCTCTTCTGCTTCTCCTAATTCCTTGTTCCAAAAATAGAGGGCTGGTCTTCAATTGTTCTTATGCATATATCCCTCCTTCCCTTATCTTGCTAATCTAAGACAGTCAAGATTGCCTGAGGAATAATTCACTACAGTCCATCTTTAAAATATATATATTTATTTACTCATCTTTTTTTTTTTTCTTCTTTTTTTTCAATTTGACCGGAGAGAGACACTTGAGAGAAAGGGAAAGCAAGAAAGCAAGGTGCCAGGTCCGGGGCTTGAACCATGGTGGGCTATGCAGGAGTCCATGCCACCTGCACCCCCCCACACACAAATTCCATCTTGATTGAAGTGTAGAGTGGTGTTCAGGGTGATGTTTCTGTGACCTGGTACTCTTGTGCTTATATGCTGTAGAACTTCATTCATTCCTTCACTGGTTCAACCAAAAAAAACCCACTAAATGTCTTGCTCTAAACAATTTAGATAAAACTTCTTTTATCATGGAATTTTCCTTCTGAGGGAGGGTAGGCAGATTATAAACATGAAAACAAACAATATGATAACATACAATAATTGCACATGTGTGTTGAACTATCCTTTTTTCTCCCTGGAGATATTATTTGGCAATTAAGAAAACCGAGTCAGAAGAAATTTTCTCTTCTATGGAAGAAAATTTCTATGGAAGAAATTTTCTCTCTTCTGTGTTGTAGAAGAATCTAAGATCATAGTCTACTCCCCAGATGTACTTGCTATAAAATTGCAAGAGTAATTTTTTTACATTTTTATAATTCTTTACAATTGATAACATTTTAATATGTATCCTTTCAGTTAAAAATAATAGCAATAATAATAATAATAATGGATACTTATACAGGATTTGCTGCATGCTAGACCTTGTTCTAAGTGCTTTATATAAATGTTATCAGTTTAATCCTCACTTTTATCCTATGAGATGGACACTATAATTTAGCTCCACTTTACAAATAAGGAAATTGAGGCTTAGAGGGATTACTAGTGATAGAAGCAGTATTCAATTTGGTCTTCCCTTGCTGGAACTCCATGTTCTTTCTGGGTCAAAATGAGGGTAAATGAGGCTGAAGAGGAGTGGAATCCCAGAGAAACTGGCCAAGGGAGGGAAGGCTTGGGAAGGAGGGGCTGGACCAGCACTTTAGGAAGGGGTAAGCATGATCAGGTTTCTCCAGGACCGACCTCGACCTCGTGCAGCAGTGTCTTTGAAATCTTTTTTTTTTTTTTTTTTTAATTTACTATAGGGCGTGTGCACTCTCTAGAGAGAAAGCGTGAGAAAGAGAGAAGGTAAGGAAACACTCACAGAGGGGCACGGTCATGCCACAGTCCTTTCTTCATTTCTCCTTTTGGGATTTGGGGCACACATGCACTTGCTCCATGTGATTTTCAAGCCACTAGGTCTAGGACTCAAACCTGCAGAGTTGTCTATGTGGCATCTAGATGCTTTAACCTCTACACCTCTGGCTGTCCCCGAAATAATTTTTCTGTAGCCCCAGCCTGGGGAATAGAGGCTGAACATTTGAAATAGAATATGTGTTTTCAGGGAGAAAGTAGAAAATATAAGAAGGCTAAGTGCTGTGGTTATGGTATGACCTAGTTTCTTAAAATGAATGGTTTCAGGCCATACTCATTAACCCATTATGTACTGGGTCGTATGCTGGGCACCAGGAATAGGGTGATCAGCAAACATGGCCTCTGCCTTCAGGAGCTTACAATCTGGTGAAAACATATCCATTTTATTTTTCATATTTTGTGTAGTCCTTCGCCTCATGGAAATGCTGGCCAAAGAAGAAACTAGATTTAAGTTTGTCTTTGTTAAATTAGTCTTTACTACTTGACCACATATGTCTAAGATTACAAATGGTAGGTTGGAAAGGGGGAAGTAAGTTGTGCACCGCTTCCCCATCTTTTTGCCTCTTCTTTTCCTTTCTTCTCATCCAGTGAGCCTGCCTGGTCTACTATCACTTACCTCTGCCAGTGGGTTCAGAGTCTGGCAGTGAGGATGGATCTGAAGCAGAACTGAGACCCTCTATGTCAAGTCACCTGGCATCTCTCTGCCTCCATTTTTGTATGGATTGAAAATAAGGATTGTGAAGGACTGGCAGGTAGTGTAGTGCTTAAGGCATTGGACTCCACATAGCCAACTGCAGTTCGAGTCCCAAACATGGTGGCTTGCTTTCTCACTTTCCTTCTCTCCCTCTATCTCTCTCTAGTCAAATTAAAAGAAATGAATGAATTAAATTAAATAAGTCTTAAAAAATAGAGATCATGATAAGAGCATCACACTAAGCATTTTATAATATTTATATTTCTCATACCGTACCATTCTTACAAGGCTTGTCTGTTTAATCACCATTTTAAAGATGGTGTCACTGGACTCCCACCTAGTGGATCGCAGTTTGAGTCCCAGACCTGCGTGCCCAAGATCCTGAGAGGAGAATGGAGGAGAAGGGATTGCGGCCATCCCCTCTAGGGGGTGATTTCTCGCTTTCTGTCTCTCTGTCTCTGTCTGTCTTTCTGGCCTGCACACTTGCCCTATGGCAAAAACCTCTCAAAAAATAAATAAATAAAAAATAAAGATAAGAAAATTAAAGTTCATTAAGAGTAAATCAGTTGCCCAGGATCATACAGCTGTTCCACAGTCAAACTAGTATATGAGTCTAGGTTTGCATTGGAAACCTATACTCTTATCTCTCTTTGATCCTCAACTTTCTCATTTATGAAATGGGGGTAATAGTGGCAAATGTCATGGTTCTGGGTGTTTTGTACAATAATTCCAAGGTATCGTCTTTTAGGATTAGGATTTAATTCATGAAAAAAAAAAAACAACACACAGAGAAATAAAGTAACCAGCCCACCTGCAGTTACACAGTTGACCAAAGCTTTAATATTTACTTAACCACTGAGTTCTGTGGCCTCTGAATAATAACAGTTAGCATTTATTGGACCCTTACACAATTTATACAACTGTATCCCCATTTCAGATATGGTAACTTTGGCATGGAGAACCTAAGCCCTTGCTCGGGGTGTCAGCTAAGAAATGGTGAAACTAGATGAGCCTGGTTCTTTACTCCCACACTCAGCTGAAATACAGAACTGAGATAATGTATGTAAATCTTAGCTATCACTTTCTGAGCACCTACCATGTGCCAGGGACTCATCTAAACATTTTGCACCCATTAATTTATTCAATCCTTACCATAGGCCTCCTAAGTAAGTACTGTTATTCTTCCTGTTTTTACAGATGGGGACACTGAGACACAAAAGTTTGGTCATCTGTCCAAAGTCTCACAGTTAATAAATATTAAAGTTGAGATTATGGTCAGCCCAACAGTGCGTTCGACCCCAAAAATGTGTGAAAAGACCTGGGTCCCAATTATCAATGACTGTTATTCTTCAGCAGGTAGGACGGGAAATCTGTGTCCTGGGGCCAGAAATGGAAAGAGGTAGGAGGACGTGCTGAATATCTATCAGGTAATGACACCTTGAAACAGTGGGTGCCTGCTTGGTGAGTGGCAACCTAAGAACAAGGCAGAAAATGCTGGCATGCAGGAGGGGGTGTGGTGTTAAAACAGAGGGAGCGGGACCAGCAGTTAGCGTAATGGCTGTGTTGTTGGACTCCCACGTGGTCGACCGCGGTTCGCGTCCCGGACCTGGTGGCTTAAAACTCACTCCGGGTGCGTGTGCGTACGTGCCCAAGATCCCAAGAGGAGAATGGAGGAGAAGGGATTGTGGCGTGGTCATCCCCCTGGGGGCTGATTTCTCGCTTTCTATCTCTCTGTCTGTCTTTCTGGCAAGCACACATGCCCTATAGCAAAAACCTCTCCAAAAAAAAGAGGAAGGAAGCTTTGATATCTTCTATGACATGGATGAACCTTGAAAACATTATGCTGGGATCAGCAGTTAGCGTAATGGCTATGTCGCTGGACTCCCACATCGTCGACCGCGGGTTGAGGCCCCGACCCCGCGGCTTAAACTCATACCGGGTGCGTGTGCATACGTGCCCAAGATCCCTAGAGGATAATGGAGGGGAAAGGATTGCGGTGTGGCCACAACCCCTGGGGGTTGATTTCTTGCTTTCTGTCTCTGTCTCTCTCTATCTTTCTGGCAAGCACACGCGCCCTATAGCAAAAACCTCTCCAAAAAAGGAAAAACAAAAACAAAAAACAAAAAACAAAACATTATGCTAAGTAAAAGAGGGCAGGCACTAAAGGCTACATGTTGTGTGATCCTGTGTCTGTGAAATGTCTAGAACAGGCAAATCCACTGAGGAAGAAAGCAGATTAGTGGTTGCCAGGAACTGGGACAGGTGGTGGGAGGAGAACGAAGTTTTCTTTTGGGTTGATGAAAATGTTCTGCAATTTGGGGTTGGCAGATGGCATGGTAGTTAAGGGGCTGGGCTCCCACATGGCTGATCACGGTTTGAGTCTCGGACCTGGCAGCCTGCTTTCTCACTTTCCTTCTCTCTCTTTGGTCGACTTCAAGAAAATAAAATAAAAAGATGACAATCAATAAAATTAAATAATTCTGAAAAAAAAAAAGGCTCTGCAACTAGGTGGTAGTGGTTGTGGTGCAACATTATGAATTCCTCTGAATTATATACTTTAAAATGGCTAAAATGATGAGTGTTATGTGAATTTGTCTCGGTTCATTTTGGCAGCTATGACAAAATACGATGAACTGGCAGCTTACAAACAACAGAAATGTATTTCTCACAGTCACCGTCCTGGAGGCTGGGAAGTCCAAGATCTGGTTGTTGGTGTCTGGTGAGATCCTGCTTCTTCACGGACAGTGCCTTCCTGTGTGTTCTCACCTGGTGGATGGGTGTGAGGGTTTCTGCCTCTTTTATAAGGACACTAATCTTTTTTTATTTTCTTAAGAGACAGATTTTTGCTATGGGGCATGTACGGCTCACTAAAGAGACAGAGAGACAGAAAGTGAGAAATCACCCACCGGGGGAATGGCCATGCCACAATCCCTTCTCCTCCATTCTCCTCTAGGGATTTTGGGCACACACATACATGTGCCCGGCGTGAGTTTCAAGCTGCCAGGTCCGGAAGTCCAACTGTGATCTGCCATGTGGGAGTCCAGTGAAATAACCACAACGCCATCTACTGATCCCTCAGGACACTAATCGTACTCACAAGGGCTTCATCATGGACTAGGGGGTTAGGATTTCAACACATGAATTTGGGGACAAGAGGTACAAACATTCAGACCACAGCAAAATTTTACCTCAGTAAACAGCAACAAACCCAGGGTAGGAAGAGGAAAAGGAAAGGAAAGGTGAGGAACCCAGAATACCTCTCTGAGCTTAGTTTCCTCGTCTGTAACCTGGTGCTAATAACACCTCCAACCTTCCATTCCCCCCAGAATTGACATGAGTAATATATTAATTAGTCTGATATACAATGCTTAGCACACAGTAGGCATTCTGAATAAATGTTAATTGCCTTCTTTCCAACAGAAGTGTCAAATGTATTTGCCTCCTTTATTTCCTTTATTTTTTATGCCACTGTGACTTGTGGCTCCAGCCAGACAACCTGTCTTCTTATGGGCTTCGCCCAAGCCTTCTTACTATACAAGGCCACTGTTCCACCAGCTGAGATGTTCTGCCTCCTGTGTTACAGGCCACGGTGGTACTTGGCCACTGCCTCAGTCACCTGAGAGCTGATTCTGTGACATCCACCCACTGAATTAGACTTCCTGAGGGTAGCTGGGGGAAGCGGGCTAAGGATTCTTTTTCTTTTTCTTTTTTTAGGTTTTCCATAGGATACATGTACACCCTGAAGAGAGACAGAGAGAGAAAGAAAAAGTGAGAAATCACCCACCAGGGGGAATGGCCATGCCACAGTCTCTTATTATTCATTTTCTTTTCAGGATTTTGGGCATGCACGACATGACATTTTTAAAGACACTGGGTCCAAGACTCAAACCATGGTTGACCATGTGGGAATCCAGTACCTTAAGCCACTCCACCTGCTGGCCCAAGGGTCTGGGGAGTTTTAATGTTTTTCAGGTGATGATCATGTATATTAAAGTTTGAGACCACTGAGAAGTCTCTGATACTCAGAGTGCCCCTTCCCTGTGTATAAGGTTGTGGGTCAGATTCACATTGGGTTCTGCTGGGTATGCTCTTGCTCACTAGACTGGGAAACCCCAGGGACAGATGTCTGTAACTCTTTCCTCTTAACACCCTTAGGGCAGATATTCCTGCTTCCTTTGGAGTGTATGTTCTCCTGCGATGCTGTAGGAAGTGGGACATTTAGTCTTAAGGTTCTTGGAATTCTTGTTCCTTTTCTTTTTAAAACTTCTTCTTTTTTTTTTTTTTTTTTTTAGAGTTTTGTAGGGCATGTGTGCTTGCTTGAGAGAGACAGAGACACAGAGAGAGGTAAAGTGAGAAATCATCCCTCCGAAGGGATGGCCACACTGCAATCTCCTCTCCTCTTCTCTCAGGATTTGAGCATATGTGCACATGCACCTGGTGTGTTTTTCTGGATCTCAGACTCATCCGTACAGTTGGTCATGTAAAATCCAGCACCTTAACCACCCTGCCACCTGTGGGCCCTTTAAGACTTTTTTTTTAACTGCCAGAAGATGCTTGTGCTGGTCTGAAAGAGAGACAAAGAGACAGAGAGAGAGAGAGGGAGAAGGAAAAGGAGAAGGCACTCCCAATAGGGTGTGGTCATGCTGGTCCCTTCTCCATATCTTCATTCTGTCAGGATTTGGGGCACACAGGCGCACACTCCTGGTGTGCTTTTCAAGTTGCCCACACCAGGATTTCAACTTCAGTTGGCCATGTGGGATCCAGCTTCATTACCCACTAGGCCAAGGAGTAGCCCCACTTTTTTTTTTTTAAGCCTATTTATTTAGTTCCTTAGAGATAGAGAGAGTGAGAGAAGACCCAGCCCCATGGCCTAGTGGCTAAGGGAGCTGGATCCCACGTAACTGATCCCACGTAGTTCAAATGTCACCCTTTGAAAAACACAGTGGGTACGTATGGTGCCCCAAATCCCAACAGAGTGGGGAAATTGAGGAGCAGAGATTGGAGTGTAACCATGACCCATGGTGTGCTTTTTCCTCTTTCTCTATCTTTCTGACAAGTACCTGTACCTTTAGAAAAAGAAAAAAGAGAGAGAGAGAGAGTTACCCTCAACAGGGTCTTTATGCTTTTCCTCCTCCTACCCTTGCATTCAGCCAGGATCAGAGATGCACCCAGGATGCTCAGGTAGACCCCAGGTGTGAACCCAGAGCCTTCCCACGTGGCTCCCAGCATCAGCAGCCCAGCTGCCTGCACCCATGGATGGGCCATTCTCCTCTACTTCTACAGATACTTGGGAGTACATAGCTTCTGTCTTTCTGCCATTCTATTTTGGCTTTTCTAGATGGTATGGAAATTGTGTTACTGTGTCAAATCAGCCTTTGTTTTTTCAATCCCGTCTTACCCAGGATGCACTAGGTGTGGGCCAGCCCCACCCAACCCTGACAAGCGACCATGGAACCCGGAGCCGGGTCAGAGTCATCTCTGACTGTCAACGAGCAGGTATCCTCTGTGGTGGAAAGAGGTGGGGGTACTGAGGGGTGTGAGCATGGGAGGAAAACTCCACAGAACTCCTCACGGCCTGTTTCTTTTTATTTATTTATTTTTACAATAATTATTTATTTTTCATTTTTGTTTTCACATGAGTTTTGCCAGAGAAAGACGAGAAAGAGAGAGAGAAGAAAGCCACTGAGTCCAGGACTTGAACTGTGGTCAGCCATGTGGGAATTTCAGCACCTTAACTACCACATCACCCGCTGGCCTTAGCCTGTTTCTTACCAAGGCTCACAGTCACGTCACCTGTCCAGAGGTAGTTGCCAGCTAGGATTTCTCAGGGGCTGAGTTTGGAGATTTAAGTTGTAAATTTAAAAAGTGAAATTAAAATGCATACATATAAGTTAATATATTGGATAAAATTATTCCTTATTTTTTATTCTTGCTTATATACATTTTCTAATTTTTCTGTAATAATTTTATTACTTATACAATTTCTTTTAGACTTTTTTTGCTATAGGGCACATGTGCTCACCAGAGAGACAGAGAGACAGAAAGAGACAAAGAGACAGAAGGCAAGAAATCATCCCCTGCCTCCAAGGGGTATGACCACACTGCAGTCCCTTCTCTTGGGATTTTGGGTATACATGCACATGTGCCCAGCTCATGGTTAGTCACGGAGGAGTCCAGTGTCTTAACCACTGTGCCACCTGCTGGCCCCCACTTATGTCACCTTTTTAAAGGAGAAAAAATATAGACATCTCTAAAAATGTAACAGAGATGAGGTCCCTCATGGGTCAAGCGTGAGTGAACAAGGAAACTACTTTTGAGGATTTTTCACTTGTACTCTTTTTTTTTTTTTTTGGAGAGGTTTTCGCTATAGGGCGTGTGCGCTCACCAGACAGACAGATAGAGACATAGAGACAGAAAGCGAGAAATCACCCCACAGGGGAGATGGTCACGCATTAATCCCTTCTCCTCCATTCTCCTCTTGGGATCTTGGGCACGCACGCACATGCGTCCGGCATGAGTTTTAAGCCACTGGGTCCGGGACGTGAACTGCAATTGACTATGTGGGAGTCCAGCGACATAGCCATTATGCTAACTGCTGGTTTCCTTCACTTGTACTCTTCCAATGGGTCACGTTGTCACTTTTTCCTACGCAGTCTGTGGGTGGGTCCAATGCTCAGACTTAAGGAGTATGGTGTGGGAGTGGTTTCCAGCACAGGCAAAATAAGGGGAGGCTTGCCACAAAGCTTCTTCGCATGCAGTGTCTGTCTCTGATTCTTGAATGGCCCAATCAGCATCCTTTCAGCTGAGGGCAAGGGCTTTGAGAGGGGATGACCAGGCTCAGCGACACCTGAATCATTTGTGCATGTGCAGGTCTCAGCATGCCCCCAACAGATGGCATGGTTGGAGCTCAGGCCCATGACAAACTAAGCTCCAGTCCAGGAGCCAATGGGGTGGGGAGGAAGAGGCTACATTTTCAGGATTCCTGACCATTGTCTCAGAGGAATCCAGGCCCTTTACCCCAGAGCTTTGGAAATAAAGAAATCATGAGTTTAAATAGTTACTCAGCATTGTGGAGCATTCGTTTTCCAATCTTTTGTCTTTGGGAATTTCAGATAGTTTCAAGGAAAGTGAAGGATTTGCCTCTTGGTCTAACTTGAGCTGTGAACACTGTGTTGGGAGCTCTCAATGCCATATTCCAATGGGGTAGCCATCAAGAGGACATCCTTGCAAGGTTGGGGATAGGCCATTTGCTGTTCCCTCAGTTGAGTCTGGGAGAGAGAGCAAATGGAAATACCTCCCAAGTGAGGTGGCTCTGTGAGACTTTCCCTAGCCTGTGTCAGGCTCTTCTCACTGTCACCAGGGCCTGTTTTTTTCCAGCACTTCTTTTGCTGGAATCAGAGCTGCAGCCTGCCTCAGGCTCTGGAATTGTCACAGAGCACACAGTCTTCTGGACAGGAGGTCTGCATCCTGAAGGCCCCCGCACACACACACTCCCCAACCATGCTCAGAGCTCTGTTACCAGAAGCTATATTGGCCTCTCCCTCCAGCAGTGTCCCCCTTCCTCTGCTTGCAGGTCATCGTGATGTCAGGCCATGAGACCATCCGAGTGCTGGAAGTTGGAGTGGATGCCCAGCTCCCTGCAGATGAGGAGGACAAAGGACTGGAGGGTGTGTCCGCTGAGAGCTCCCAGAGCAGAGGCCCTGCTGAAGCCAGTGAACATGCTCGTGAAGCTGGACCAGAAAACCCAGAACCCCCTGCAGAGGCAACTGGTACGATGCCATTGCTCCCACCTAGTATTGCTCCACATGAGTCCTTGTGGCCCAGGTGGCTTTTAGTGTCTTGTCTTGTCCAGTGGGCTGCCTCTGGTCTCAACCTGCACTTCTGGATAGCTGCCTGGGCTCCTCTGCTCTCCGTGTTTCTGGAACTTAGTCCTAGTTTCAGTTACTTCCAGATCTAAACTGGAATGGGTCAGAATGAAGTGGGAGGAGATTGGCAGTGCTGAGTTTAGGGGTTGCATCAACCTCAGAAGGCTCCTAGATCTACACCAGACCCTTAGGCCTAATGCAGAAAGGACAGAATCTTCAGGATCTGCCAGGCTTTCCAACTCAGTCCTTGTTATATTAATAGTTGAGCTGAGAGGTCCCAGGAGCTAAAGACTGAAGGGCATCCTCAGAGTATTCTCACTCCTTCGGGAGTGAGCTTTCATTCTCCTGCAGTGCAGCTGAGAGACAGCCAGAGTTGTTCTAGAGGCTGAGCTGTGGCACCAGGCACTTCCCCCCTGCCCGGGGGCACCCTGTCATCGACTTTCCTCATTAACACCTTGCAGAGTCATCATCACCTATGGCAGTAAGCCGGGGCTCCTTTACCAGAACACCAGGATTCCTCTCCCCTGGCCTTCTGCTACACTTCACCTCTTCCCTAGACTGGAGAGCCGTGCTGGTGGGGGGTGAGCCAAGAGGAGGAGCCAAGAAGAGAGCAAGAGAGTACAGATGAACACCGGGGAACCTCCCTAAGGGCTCCTTAGAGAACTACATGACCTCAAGTTACTTGCTCTCCCTACAAATCATCATGCAGACTGTTTGGGACCCTAGTAACCTGAGGGTTTTGTTGTTGTTATTGTTTTCTCTTTTGGATAAAAGAATCTCAAGAGAAATG